CAACCCCTATGGAAAGCAGTGTGGAGAACTCTTCAAAAACTACAAATGAACCTACCATTTGACCCAGTCATACCACCCCTTGGCATAGACCCAAGGGACTCATCCTTTTACTTGTACATCCATGTTTGTTGCTGCTCTTTTCACATTAGCGATGAGATGGAAGCAACCTAAGTGTCCCTCAACTGATGAGTGGATAATGAAAATGTGGTTCACAATGGAGTTCTACTCAGCAGTAAAGAAAGACAAAATCATGAAATTTGCAGGTAAATGGATGGAACTAGAAACTGTTATACTAAGTGAAGTAACACAGACTCAGTGAAACAAATGATGTATGTTCTTCATATGTGGATCCTAGCACCAAATCCTTATAAACAAATATCCCAGTCACCACTCATCAAAGAAGCTCATTTTGCACCAGTCAGAGACTATTACCAAGTACCACAACTGGTCACACACGGACATTGTCTATGAATGTCCCAGGCCTAAGGGACACATCTACAATGCAACCACTACACCTAAAGCTCATGGAACATAGAACAAGGATAAAGAAGAGGACACTAGTGAATCTCTCAGTTCTCATCAATGAAGCTCCCTCATGCAGCAGAGGGCCAGGAACACAAAAAATGGCCAAAGCATAGAGACCAAGAATGCTGGTCCTTGGATAGGACTCCCTTATTAAACTTTACCCACCCAAGGTCAGGGACCATTTTGGAATAGGGGGTGGAAAGATTGTAAGAGTCAGGGAGGAGGTGCATGACCATATCAAAACAGAGTTCTACAAGCTCCTGGGAATCTGCTCATATGATTCTATGGCAATGGTGTTGGCATACACAAGTCCCATGAAAACTCAGGCAGACAAAAATCAGGCATAGAACTGGGAAAATGAACAGCAGATGCCAATCGTATCTGAAGAAATATTGGCAACTGATTGCTGCTAGGTGAAGAAGAGCTGATCTTCCTAAAACAAGGGACTCTAAATAGGCTGACTAGACCTCAGTGGATGGACTTGCACTGGGGAATGTCTGGAGACACTGACTTGATACAGTGGGCCTTAACAGGGATGATAGAGTATATGTGCTTCAGTGGGGGTTGAGGGGAGCTATGGGAGGGTGCCAGTGGGGACGGGGGTATAAATATAATTTGTTTGAGTTGTTCTGTATGAAATACACAAAAATTCAATA